TTATCAGCACATTATAGTTTAGATGTAAGGACTTATTTTATCTGCTCTGTTTATGATAATACAAGTATTGGCATCACTTCATTTGAGGCTGTTCCGTAATGGCTGCAAAGTGTCATTCCTTTGTGGAATATACCTCCAAGAACACAGGGATGGTACCAAAGGTTGAAGGGTAAGTTATACTATGTAGGAATATCTTTTTTATATTCTTTAAAGCATAGTGATTAGTGTGCTGCTGTCCCCTGCTCTTTCTCTGTTTTATGGTCAGAACAATATGAAGAAATAATATGATACATATTTCTACCTACATGCTACAATTACCCGGGTTGGATTTTGGTATCCTAAAGTTTTAAACCTATCTTACCAGGATTGATGTTTACATAATGGAGAATTCTTCACTTAGGCCATCTAGTTACTCTTTAATATTGTGCAGTTGGATAATCAAAATGGAGGTGCCGGATGCTGAACTAGACCCTGATAGTACATCCCCTACAGGACCCAATTCTGGACATTGTTGCCAATCATTTAGTCCTTGTGTCAATACCGTATTTACTCGTCCACCCCGTCCTACAATGATAAGAGAATACTGCCCCTCCAATGATGTAAGATTAGTATAGGTCTCTGATGAATTTGCAAGATGCTTTTCCATATAAGCAACTTCCCTTCCTGCTACATGCCTCTCATAGAATTGAGCAAAACACTCGTCATCAAGCTTCATCTCCTCTTCTTGCTCTGCTGCACTTGCTCTGTTATTCACTCTTCGCGGTGCATGTTCAGAGTTTTTGTCTACCAGGAATCTAATCACCATGAGCTTTACTCCTGGATGCCTCGCAACACGACCGGCAAAGGCTAGTGCTTCTCGGTCATCTTTGCCTCCAATAAAAAGGACAGCCACTTTAGGTGCAGATGACCTTGAAAATTTTCTGGTAAAACAAAAACCCCTGTCCACCAAAATCCCAATAGAACATGGGGCGTTTCTAAGCAGCTGTTGGAAACCAATATATATATATATATTGTTATTTCGAATTGGTTAAAGGAGATTTCTAAATATTTATTTAAAGTATGTTCTTGTTTTTACCTTACGATTTACGTATCTGAAACCAGGATGGCCTTCATCAAGGGTACCGTTTTCATTCAGTCTCTTATGAAACGGCAATAAAATAAGGGATACCATCAAATCCTCTGCTAAAGCAGAAATATCTTGTGGCATACTATTGAATGTGGAAAGTGCAAGCACTCGGCTAATCTTGATATCACCACCACTACCCCCATTTTCGTTTATGTAAGTTTGAAAAGCATGACTGATTTGATCTCTCATTTCCGTGATCGACGTGTCGGTTATCGTGATATTGTCCACCCCTTCCCCGGGTGCCATTGCTGCGGCTATTTGCTCTGTAAGCTCAATCATGTCAGTGACATGAACAAAGAGTCCAGGGTCAGATCTGCCTCGAGAGATCTCCATTAAACTGATGGCTGAATCAAGATTATGTGGTCCGTGTAGGCATAGCAAGATTCGAAGTTCGCTAGAAGGATCAAGCCATTGTAGAGCCATCCTCTGGATTGGTACCCTTTTCCTTGCTCGTTCTATTATATGCTTCACAACAATCGGCGTGTGCACCACGGATAAGAATATCAGGATTATCATCAACGTACACGTTGTGACGTCGATCCTTCCTCGCTGCCATTCGAGTCAAGTAAGAAATCAATTTAAATTTACTATACTTTTAGAAATTTAACAGTTTTGGTTGAAAAAACTAACCCTGAGTGCATCGATGGCCAAGTATACGTGAAAATGACCCTTTGCCGTCAAGAGTAATCCGACCGCTACCATTTCCGGCCTATGGTAACCTAATGTTAAGCCACATAGGAGTGTTCCACCCACTTTGCCAATGGTTGCAATCACCAAAAGGCACAACAGCCTTACCCATGTTCCAACAATACCTGCTTCAAATCTTGAGATATCAAGCCTAAGCCCCACCCAAAAGAAGAAAACTGGGTAAAAGAGAATGCTTAACAAGTTGTTGAGTTTGCTAATTGCCCATTTTGATATTCTCCCGTCGGACGGTAAAAAAAGCCCTCCCATAAATGCACTCAGAACCGAGTTGTAACCGAACCACGGTGCCCAGGAGCATATAGAGGCCATGAAGGCCATTGACAGAACAAGGTGTGAGCCTTTGAGTGGCTTTCCTTCAGGGTTCTCATTGTTGATCCAATTAATGAAAATTGGTGATACACTTGCAGCCACTATCGTTTGAATAACAAGTGCAACCCCCATTTTGATGATCCTAATCTCGTCTCTAACGTTCACTATGTTTTCCGCCGGAAAAAAGACAAAACCGATGGCAAGTAAAAGCATGGTAATCATATCAGAGTGTACTCCAGCACTGATACTAAGCTTCCCTATGTCCGACTTGCCTACTTTGAGTTTGGTCATCAAGCGGGTGAGTATGTGAGAGCCGTTACCGGAGAGACAAATAGAGAGGGATAAGGTGGAGCTTACCACGCTCGTATGCTTCAAATAATTCAGCCATGGAGTTACAGTGCTAGCCGTGATGAATGTACAAAGCATTCCGGCATAAGCCACCATAGCATGGCGAGTCGGCGGCTTAAATATCACGTAAGGGTCCATTTCCAGACCCAAAACGAAGGCATAGCATATCATGCCGAAGTCCACAGCATTTTCCACAGCTATATTGAACGGATTCGTGAAGGAATCTCGCACCCGAGGTAGGCTTGTTAGAATCAGCCCTATCTGTAAACATTACAAGACCAAAACCACAACAGATTAATGCAAAGCAATGACATGAAATCGAATGCACTTGACAACGTCGTGATCGACGTCGAATTAGATATACGTACGGTGATATCGGAAGTTATGTAAGGTTGGGATAAAGGCTTTAGCAGGTGGTGCACAATTCTGCTAAGAGCATATGCTGCGATGAGAGCAATTAACTTTTCAGAAATGCTGAAATTGGCTACCACACTTTTTATGCATTGATAATTGGTGATGTTATTGGGTGCGATGTCATTTGTGATGGCCGGCGACATCTTCGACGATCAATGTATCCTGTGGTGTTTTCTTTGTTATCTTCTTCTCTAATCCGAAATAGATGAAAGAAATATTTTAATTAGCTACAAAACCATTTTTTTTTTGTAAAAAATTGTTACAGTCTCTGTCCCTGAGATGAATGTTACAACAGGAGGAACGAACGGATGCAAATTGTTGCCATTTTATGAGGACCAGAATGAAGGAGTAAGTTGAGGGAATTGAGACATTTGAGTGGTGAATCCGGATTCCTATATTTATATATTACACAAGGATAAATTATAAATTTCTTCACTTAATTTTATTTTATTCTTATTCTAGTCATTAATTTTTTAAAAAAAATTTAATTTTGTAACTCTTGAATTACTCTTATTTTAATCATTTCACGTTAAATTATAAATGATATGATGAAAAAATAAAATCATCATTAAATTTGATAATTATAGTTTGATCACTAATTTTTCAGAATTTAAAAAGTTATCCTTTAATTTATCAAATTGTTACAAAAATGTTCATTGTAACATAATAATACAATTTGATAAATTCAATGATTATTTTATAACAATTTAATAATTCTAATGATTATTTATAACATCACGTAATCATTTTATAACAGTTTGATAAATTTAATGACTTTTGTATAATTTTAAAAAAATTAATAATTTAAAAATTATTATTTTTATAGTAAGAACAAATGGTGCATTAGCTATAAATGAAGTTGATGATGTTAATGTTCGAAATACGCTCTAAATAAACAGAAGTAAACTGCATCTGCTAAGAAGTAGTGGATGCATGATGTGCAAGATCATGTATGACGCCATTTTGATTTAAACGTAGTTAAATGATATATAATATGTTTTACCTTTAATTTTTTTATAATTATATGATTATTTTTTTTTCTTAATTCTCTAAAATTTTATCTTGACTAATTTCGATCAACTCGTATTGTATACTTAATTTTGATAGATGAATTTCATAACAAATTTTGTTTTTATACATAAAACCTCCGATTCGATAACTATTTAAACGATACTGCACAACATTAAGATTCCCACAACAAAAGAGACATCCTCACGTGCCTTACTTGTAGGGGTGTGTAAAAATATCCGATCCGGTTGATCCGAACTGTCGACCCCTATCCGAACTTAAAAAAATGGGTAATTTTTTTAAAAAAAATTACCCGACCTCAGCCCGATATTTCCCAAGTCGGGCCCGAATCACAAAATTTAGTTTTTTCCGGGTACCCAGTTAGTTTTTATTTTTTTTATTATATATATATATATATAAATATAATAATAGATTATTTATATTATAGATTATTATATCTTATATTTCAAACTTTTAAATTTTATGTTCGGATGTTGTAGTATGTAATTCGAAGTTTCAAAATTTTAAATTTATGTATACTTTTTAAATTAATAATTTAAAGGGAAAAAAAGTTACCTGTAACATCCAAATCAAGATACGGACCGAAAAATCACCCATCCAAATATAGATTTGCACACCCCTACTTACTTGAGCTACCTTACAAATCCATCGTCATAAAAGACATTAGAAAATAATAGAGTAGCAGTAAATAAAAGTTAACATTTATTATTTAAAACATAAACTATTAATAAACATTGATGATAATAATAAGTTATACTACCCGAATTTTAAAAATAATTATAAATTATAAATAAATATAAAATTTTAAAAATAAATTATTAAAATAATTAACTACTGGTTGTTTATAAATCATAAAATCGATATGAAGTATAAAATTTAAAATAATTTTTTTTCACGCTAAAATTTAGTAGAACAGGTTAGGTTTGGCAAGGTACATACAGTATACACAATTTAAAGTACTTACAATAAAGTGCGGCCGCCCTCTGCCCGTTGTCCCCCCCCCCCTGCCCTATGAATTATCGTGCAGGCTGTTAGGCATCTTTGTACACGTATCACTGCCACTGGCACCGGCCTTTATATTCGCAGAGATACTCAAATTCCCATTCTCACTAAATCATTTTTGCTCCTCAAAATCGTTGTGTTCCTTTTCCTCGATGCAAAAAGGTTCTCGATTTCCGCCATTCTCTCTGGCAGAGAGAATCTGCATTTTAATGGAATCTTGAAGTAACTTTGTTAATTGATTTGTTCTTTTTGTACTAGATTTGTAGCGACGAGTGAGAAAAGAGAAGAATGTCGAAGGCTGGTGCATTTGATCTGGCTTCCGGTCTCGGTGGCAAGATCGAGAAAACCGAAGTCCTTTCTTCTGTTGAAAAGTATTCTTCTCATTTCTTTAATTATGTGTTTAGAATGTTGCTTTATTATTTTTTATTTTTTCTTTACTTTTATTCTCCCTCCTCCCTATATCCTTCCCTTTTTAGTTTCTGTGATTTTTTTAAATGATTTTAATTGCAGCAAACGTATTCAATGTATTTAATCGAGTCTCGAATTATCATTTCTTTAATTCTTTTAGTTAGAGTTTAGTAGGTGACGGAATGGTATTGATAGATTGAATCTCGATTATTGAAATATAAGATCTATTTAGAATTTGGCCCGCAGGTGTGTTTCTGATGGCTACCGTTCGTAATTAGAATACAAGAGAAATTCACTTAAACTGGATTAATGTGCCTCTTAAATGTTTAATTCCTACTATATGGATTAAGCTTTTTGATTGAGCTTAGTTTCTGTGAAGTGTCTACTTAGCCTTGATTGTTAGCATATTCCCACTTTCCCTCTCCCGTTTTCTCTCAGATGACGCTAGTTTGCACAGATCAAGCTCATTTATTATGTCTAAAATAAGTTTCATTTCCCATCTCTCAACTGGAAGGTTCTTTGATTTTTGTTCCCCTGAAACATTCCGCTAGCTTGCAGTCAAGTCAAGTCCAGTCCAGTCAATTCTGTTTTACTTACAAGTGGCTACAAGGCCATATTTGTAAATTTATACAACTCTATGGAACATGGACCTGCTCATGATTGCTAACTGTTTTTCTTTTTAATTCTTCAGTATTTAGATAACGCTGAAACATCTAGAAAGTGACGGGTTTGGTTGAAAGAAGCAAGATATGGCTTAAAATTGTCGTTTTATATCATTAATTAATTAAATGTAATTGCATCCAACTTCAAATGTACATGACTGCTAGCTGATTCACTCTTTTTTTTTCTTTTATTATGGAGCATTAACTGTGTCCAACTTCAACTGGTCATGACTGCTATCTGATTTACTATTTGTTTCTTTTATCATGGAGCATGCATGGATGATCTGCTGCATGGTGACCGATACCGCAGGGTAGTTAGTAGTTGCTTAAAACTCGTACCATGTTTCCTTGCATCTATGCATGATCGCTTGAAATATTGTCTTTTACTCTTTAGACTCTTGTAAGTGTTTTTGAAATGTCATATTAGATTATGTTAATGATTCAGGTACGAGAAATATCACGTCTTTTATGGAGGTGAAGAGGAAGAGAGAAAGGCCAACTACACTGACATGGTTAGAATGGCTTCTTTTTTCAATCTTACAATCAGTGATCAACCTGCTGCTGGAGTCCTTAGTTTAGCTCATTTTCAACTTTTGCTAATAGTTATGAATTAGGTGCTTGAATATTTTCTTTACTATTTTGGTTGAGTGTATTACATACACTGGCAGATCTAGCTGTCAATTTCATCAAGCTAGATGGTGATCATATACGTTCCATTTTGTCTTAAACTAATGAATTCCTTATTCTCGCTTACAGCTTTACTGGACTGATAAGGTTAAATTAGGACTTGATTGCATTTGCAAACACTCATATGATTTTATGAATTCAGGTTAACAAATACTATGATCTGGTTACCAGCTTTTATGAGTTTGGATGGGGTGAATCTTTCCATTTTGCTGCCAGGTATCCATCCATTCAGTCACTTCTATATTGTATCTGCGAGGAAGATGGTGCAGTTGCCTTTTCATGTCACTGCTGATGATTATCATAAAATTTGTTTCTACAGATGGAAAGGGGAGTCTCTCAAAGAAAGCATAAAGCGCCATGAACATTTTCTTGCTGTACAACTTGGTTTGAAGCCTGGACAGAAGGTTCTCCCACTTCATTAGAGCATGAAGCAATTGCATCCTGAGTTTTCTGTTATATTTGACCTTTGATTTAAGCTTTGACTTTTCTTTTAGGTGTTGGATGTTGGATGTGGAATCGGTGGACCACTTAGAGAAATTGCTCGATTCAGGTACATAGCAGTTTGTTTTCAATGGTCATTTGCTTTATTTCTTCTTCCTTTTCTGTTGTTTATTTGTATCTATTTAACTATTTTTGTAGCGTATATTGCTGATTAGGCTACTTTTCATTGTTATATTTGTTTATGTGTATGTGTATGGATGAGCGTAGAGCTAGAGTCATCTGATCTCAGTTTATTTTATTGAGCCTGTGTTTCTCTGTACATATTTTTTAAAAATTTCTTTTGGTTGATTAAATATGTCCAAATTAGGGGGGAAATGTTGCAGTTATCTTGTACGGAAAACTAAATGGTAAACTAACTTCTGTTGGTGTTTCTTAGGTGTTGTTGAACCATTGCCCTATTCCATTGGATAGTACAGCAGTTTTAGCAATATACTTAGTGAATAAATCATGGCTAGTTATATTCTTATTTAAAAAATATATTGAAGGACTCTAAATCATGTTTTTATTGTGATTGCTGCAGTTCCACATCTGTCACTGGGTTAAACAACAATGAATATCAAATAACAAGAGGGAAGGTGAACATCTCTTCAATCTCGAATAGATAACGTTAATGCATATGCTGCAGATGACATTTTTATCTTGCTTTTTCTTTTATCTTGCTTTTTTCTTTCTTTGTTAAACACTCTTGCTTCTGATTTTAATTTTATTGATCTTTGAATCTATTATTAGCCTCTTTGGGTTGATTAAAATGGGCAATATTTTAAGAATATCTCAAGTTCTCCTTTTAAATACTGATGGATCACAGTTATATAGTTTTTGGCTCTCTACTGTGAAATTTTCTTCATCTTTCTAATTAAAAATGTGATCTTCGACAGGAACTAAACCGAATTGCTGGAGTGGAGAAAACTTGCGACTTTGTGAAGGTTGGTAATTTTCTGCGTCAAGTTGTTTTATTGTTCTTTCACTCAAGTTTACATTATGTCTGTTATTATTCCCTGTTTTAAAATTTTCCACGCTAGCATTTTTATGATGCAGAATATTGATGACTGATTTTCTTATGGTTATTGTCTAATGCAGGCTGACTTTATGAAGATGCCGTTTCCTGACAACACCTTTGATGCAGTTTATGCAATCGAAGCTACCTGCCATGCTCCGGATGCTGTATGTATTTTCCCATCACAATCAAGATCGTTTTAATCTTTTACTGATGAATTATGATTTCGATTGTGTATTGATTTGTTTTTATTGATTTGATTTGATTGTTTTCATGTTACACCACTATATCAGTTTGACTTGGTCTGTTGTGACAGTATGGATGCTACAAGGAAATTTACAGAGTACTAAAGCCGGGTCAGTGTTTCACTGCGTACGAGTGGTGCATGACTGATGCTTTCAATCCAAATAACCCAGAACATCAGAAAATTAAGGTGGGCATCTTAACGGCATGAAAATGCTACCAGTTTGTTGTTCATCCCTGAGTTCAGCTTAAATGAAAGTGTTATTAATATAGGCCGAAATCGAGATTGGTGACGGTCTACCGGATATCAGGATGACTAGACAGTGCCTAGAAGCTCTAAAACAGGCTGGTTTTGAGGTGAATTCTTACTTCTGTCTCCACTCTCCATCCATCCCTTCTAACCTTTCAAGAAGTTAATCGATTTTCGTATCGAATTCTAGGTAATTTGGGAGAAAGATCTTGTTATCGACTCCCCTGTCCCTTGGTACTTGCCTTTAGACAAAAACCACTTCTCATTGAGTAGCTTCCGTCTAACAGCTCTTGGACGCTTTTTCACTAGAAATATGGTAAGAACTACCAGACACTATATACCTTTCCATTCTCATGATACTCATTATGAACGATGGACTCATTTTTAAAGATCACAACATCGTACCAGTAATCGTATCCATCTTGCTTGTAGGTCAAGGCTCTAGAATTTGTGGGACTAGCTCCAAAAGGAAGCCAAAGGGTTCAAGATTTTCTCGAGAAAGCCGCAGAAGGGTTGGTTGAAGGTGGCAGGTGAGTTTACATTATGATCCTGATGACGTCTTCTGCATGGTAAGTTGGAGAATGTTTTGTAGTTTGCTGACACTTTGTCGTTTCAATTTCAGGAAAGAGATATTTACGCCTATGTATTTCTTTTTGGCCCGAAAACCACTTTCGGAGAGCCAGTGATGCAGGGGTGAAAACTGAATTAATCTCATTGAAATTGAACCAAATCTGGCTAGTTGGGCCATTATCTGTAAAAGCTTTAGAGATTTGGTGTTTATTACTTGGTTGATTTCGGTTGTTTGAAAATTAGCCGAATGATTTGAAACATATAAATTATTGTATTTTAAACTTCGTCAGATGTTTTATTTTTGTTGAAACCTTATTGTTCAGCATTTGAATATTTACTGGATGATTACTAGTTATTTGAATTATAAAAAAAATCAATATATATATTTTTAGCTTAATGGTAGAAATAAAATTGACCAAAAGTACATATTTGGTCTAAACAATATGCACCAGGACCGCGATACAGAACAATTAGGAAATCACATGACTGTCCAAGTTCGATCTTTTCTTTTACTTTTCTCGGCGGTTTACTTCGTCGTTCATCGGTTTTTTTTTCTGATTTGAAGAGGCTTGTTTTTGGAATGATAATATAGTGGTCTTGGGTAGACGTATCTTCTCTTGACCATTCACTCAAGGGACCCGTTAGTCCCGTCCGTTTAAGCTGCCCGTTTTGGTTATCGTCACCGCCCACCACCTGTTCGACAAAACTCCGCAGACAACACCTCATCCGCTCATCAAACCGAAGCTCCGTACACTGCCAACCGGAGTTCCAGAATGATTCCGAGAACGCATTGTATCGGATTATAAGAAGAGAGGCTGGTATTGAAGGCATTGGGAGGAAAGCCAAGTCCAAGAAGCAGCGTACCGGGCTTTGGCCTAAGGCTGTTTTGGAGGCTCTCGATGATGCTATAAAGGATAACGCTTGGCACTCTGCCCTTGAGGTCTGGGTCGTTTCAATTTCGCCTTTCAACTGTTTTGGCCTCTCTTTTTGTTTTCAAAATAATGCTTATATAAGAAGGATAACAACGTATTTTAATTTTTTTTCCTGTTTCTTAGATATTTGCACTTCTACTCAAGCAGCATTGGTACGAGCCTAGATGCCAAACATACACAAAACTGATAGTGATGCTGGGTAAATGCAAGCAAGCTCAACAAGCCGGTTTGCTATTCGAAACAATGCTTTCGGAAGGGCTTAGACCCACCATTGATGTCTATACAGCTCTGGTACACGCATACGGCAAGAGTGGCCTCATTGACGACGCTTTTACTGCTGTTGAAGATATGAAATCAGTCTTCTATCTTCAACAGCAAACCCGATGTGTATACTTACTCTATTCTTATCGACTCTTGTGTGAAACTTCGCCGCTTTGATCTCATTGGAAGAATTCTTGCGGAGATGTCTTTTCTGGGAATTGAGTTTACCACTGTTACATATAATACTATTATTGATGGATATGGTAAGGCTGAGTTGTTTGAGGATATGGAGAACGTATTGACGGATATGATTGAAAGTAGTAATTCCCTTCCGGATATTTTCACTTTCAATTCTATTATCGGGGCTTATGGGAAAGGTGGACAGATTGAGAAGATGGAGAAGTGGTATGAAGAGTTTCTGCTTATGGGAATAAGACCTGACATCAACACATTCAACATTCTTATTAAATCTTTCGGGAAAACAGGCATGTACGAGAAGATGGGATCGGTCATGAAGTTCATGGACAAAAGATATTTCTCCCCCACCATTGTTACTTACAATATTGTTATTGAAGTATTAGGAAAGGTCAAAGGCTGGAAAGATTGAGAAGATGGAGGAGTATTTTAAGGAAATGAAGCATAAAGGAATGAAGCCTAATGCTAGTACCTGTTGTTCTCTTGTTAGTGCTTACTCTAAGGTGGGGTCAGTTAAGAAGGTCGATTCTATTTTGAGGCAGGTGGAAAATATAGACGTGGTACTCGATACTCCTTTCTTTAACTGTATCATCAGTGCCTATGGTCAGGCCGGTAACTTAAAAAGGATGGCCGAGTTATTTTTGGCTATGAAAGAGAAAAAATGCATGCCTGATAACATCACTTTTGCAACTATGAGGTTTTTAACCTTGAGGTCGTGACTCGGTGGGCAATTCATAATTGCTGGAGGTCTTCCACGGAAGTTGCTCTCAACCTAGCGTTGGGGGCAGCCTATTACCTTACCTCTCCCTTATCCCATTTAATATGGGAATAGGGTCAGCTATTTATTCAAGCCTAAAATGCTCATGGCTTGATTGAAGCTGCTCAAGATTTAGAAAATAAGTTGATCAATAGAAGCAGAAATTCAGGTATGTATGAACCTTGTGTCAAATACTCTGTTCTGCTGTGAATTTATACTGTCATGTTGAACTCAAAAGATTATTTAACTACAAGCTCTTTTCTTGATGCCTATTGTCTATGATAAAAAGGACACCACTGTTTAAGCAAATGGTGATGATTTACATTCGACTCCATACTTTTGTTTTTGTAAATTTGATCAAGTTTCTCAAATCAAAATGTTCATTGCTACAAATTTTGTATTTTTCAAGATCAAGTTTCTTACATGATAGCTGTTTTCTTGAAAGTTCGGCAGATATGGTAAAGGAGCTGAGAGGGAATGAGGTAATGTGATAGGTAAATAAGAATGTTATTGTTGAAGGTTGGTGGGCCATTCAAACTGGTTTAGCTTTGTTTGTGGAATCAGAATGATGTGGTAAGAGTCGGCTTATTTTAGAGAAGGATTCAGAAGTTGTAGTTAAATGGATTAAGTCTCCTGAAGCTTGTCCTAATGCGTTCTCACAGCTGGTTAAGGAAATTGTCAGTGTTGTAATGGAATTTAGAGTTGCTGTAAGATCAGTTAAAAGGGTTGTAAATTGGGAGGCTGATGCTTTGGCTAAGTCGGGTGTAGGGTAATTGTTTAGGTTTCTTTTGTTTGGGTCACTTTTTGTAGGGTGGGTTGTGAGTAAGATGGTGGGTGGTGTTTTGTAATAATCTGTGTTGTAGGAGGTGTAATCTCTTTATGGAATAAAATTCTTATGCACTCTTTCCCTCCTTCCAATATCCGATGAGGTACTTATGTACAACGACGGATATGAAGGGGGTTTTATGAGGCCTATTTCTTATCATAAAAAAAGGTTGGTGGAGAAGGTAGAGACGGGTGTGAACATGTGATGGGATTTTCGGTGTTGGAGGTATGATCGGATAAACTGATTTTGGTGTTAGTATTAGATTGGAATGCCCAATGACGAAAAGAATTCCTTTTCTTGCAATTAGCTGACCTTTATTCTCATATGTAATGGGATAAGGGGGAGGTAATATAGTACGCTGCCCCAACGCTAGGTTGAGAGCAGCTTCCGTGGGAGACCTCCAAATTATGAAATGCCCTCCGTGAGACTCGATCCCACGACCTCAAGCTTTATATGATTGAAAAGAAAAATGATAATGAAATGGGCATGTATCAGTCATATAAAAATGCTTGGAAGAGTTGAAAAGGTCATGTATAGAATAATAATCGTTGAAGAATGTTGCAGCTGCAGTTGACGGAACAGTGATTAGAGGGAGACAGTTGACGAACTGTTGGCTGCGAAGGAGGCCGGTACGAATTTCTAATGATGTCCTTCCTTCCATTTCGACCTTTGTATTTCATTGCAATGCATTGCATTTGTATGGTTAGGGCCTTGGGAGGAAAAGCTCCTAATTAGGGGAATGTAAATCAGTTTGGCATAGTGTATCTATATATTTTGTGTTGGAATAGAATTAGGTATTGCCATATAGATTTTGGTACTTTGTGTTGAAATTGGGACATCTTTGGTCGACCCTGGAGTTTTGCCGGTATTTAGTCACACAACTATTCACGTTATTTCATTTTGATCATTTAATTATTTATTTTTCAAAATCATATATAAAGTGACATTTTAGTTTTATTTTTGTCATTTATTATTAAAAAAATAACGGTGATATTGACGTGATACCATAAGATAATGTAATGACATCATTGATTTTTTTTAAAATTGTTATGTCAGCAGATCTATTAATTTTAAAAAATAGAGCATTCTATTAAATGAATTAGCAACTAAAACTTGTGAATAATTCCAAAACTTGTCAACCAAATAAGGCAATAAAAGGTTAATTCCAAAGGAAGCAAGAACCATAGGCCGGAAGCCCCAGGTTTTAAGTCTAAAAAATTGAAGGTTAAATCACAGCCCACTGAAATGCAGATGTTATAAGTCAATTAGCCAGCCAGATTCCTCCATGGCCTGCCTTTTCCATATAGTATTTCAGCACTACAAATACCCAAACTCACATCCAAATAGTAATGTGCTAATTCAGCCTAGTTTTGAACACCGTTTGAAGGTTTATTTTCACCAAGAAGAAAAATATTAGTTTTTAAAATGGGGCGTTGGATGAAGGCAGAGGTAATGATTTATATTATACTACCTTTATTTTTTTCTTTCTTGTTAATTTCATAATTTTATTTTCCCAATGTAAAATAAAAATAGTTATTTTTGCCTCTTAGGTGTACCCCCTGGTAGGTGCCATGGCCTTTGTAACAAGCATGTGTATCTTTCAACTTACATGGCAGTGCTAGAGAACTACGAGAAAGGAGAAAAGTACGCAGAACATGGACTTCGCAAATTCCTCGGAACGCGTCCCCCCTGAAATCATGCCTTCCATTAATCATTTCTTCTCTCAAGATGAATGATCATATGCATTTTACCCTCTCCAATTTACATGTATTATAACGACATGAATAAAATATGGATAAGTTATAAATTTCATCGCTCAAACTTTTTCTCATATATGTTTTAGTCATTAAAATTTAAAAAAAAATAATTTATTCATTAAATTTTCGATTTACTCATGTTTTAATCAACCGGGTGTTAGATCATAAATGAAATTCATGTGCCATCTACGTCATTTTATTATTATCTTTATATTCTTCCTCCAAAAATAAAAGTTTTATAACTTCATCCTTATGTCACATCAACGTAGTAATTACTATTATTCGATGTCTTCTGCCACTATTCAAGATATCAACGAACTTAGTTCATTGTCTCCTATCACTCTATCAATTAAGGTTTAATTAAATCAACTTAAAACTCGTAAAACTCAACACTAAAACTAAAACTTATAGAACTTTAAACCGCTTTGATCTATAATATTCGCAATCCGATCAAAATGGTTTCAAGATATACATCTTGTTTCCTCCTCTACCTCTCCACCATTTTAGAAGAACATGATTTATCAAAGAGAAATAAAAAGGATTTCAAAACTAGTGTTTTTCACACACACAAAAAAGACAGTCTTGAGATAATTTCACAATTTTTAAAATAAAAATGACCGAAAAATAAGAGTAAATCGAAATATTTTAAATATTAATGACCAAAATAGAAACGAAAAGAAAGTTGATTGATAAAAATTTAGAATTTATCCATAAACTATTAGAAATTAATTAAAAATAATTAATTAAAAATGCAATATAATACCCCGTCTACTTATTTAACAAAATATCGTTCGTAGCTAAGATCATTTGCTTTTTGAACCCACAATATTTTATCGTCGTTTCATCGAAGAAGAGTCCTGTGCACTACGTTCACAAATTTTCAGAAAAATTCCGATAACGTAACGTCTCGGATCATAAGAAGAGAGGCTGCTGTTGAAGGCATTGGGAGGAAAAGCCAACTCCAAAAAGCGGCGAAATAGCCAACATCTGCTTTCGGAGAATGTTGACCGTCCAGCTCAGTTGGTAGAGCACAAGGCTCTTATTTTTAGGGTCGTGAGATCTAGTCCCACGGAAAGCATTTCATAATTCGGAGGTCTCCCACGGAAGCTATTCTCAACCTGGTGTTGGGGGTAGTCTACTATCTTACATTCCCTTTACCCCATTATATATGAAACCATTATATATGGAAATAAGGGTGAGCTAATTTTGATGCACAAAGGATGAAGTTGCGAACCTTTCCGTTGAGGCCTAAGTCCTTGTGATTCTCGTCGCCAAGTGTTGGACTTACTCTTGGATTAATGTTGATATGTAAGAAGGACCACAACATATTTTTGTATTTGTCTATTCGTGGATGTTAAGCATGATTTTCAGAATCGGATTGGTTCATGTTATCGGTTCACTGGTTTAACCGATCGAATCGGTTCGATCAGTCAGAAGAATCGGACGACGTTATAATTATTTTAAAAATCAAATAAAAATACTAAAAATATTTAATAAAAAAATAATTTTTTATATCACAAGTCATATTCAAAACAAGTCATAACATATATAAGTTAAAAACCATAAAATCAAGTGAAACAAAATGATTCAAATTAACTACAACATAATATTTAAGGTAAAACATATTAAATAATAAATATAATTATATAACTATAATTAAAAAATAAATTTGGGGCTAAAAAAATCATAACAAAATGATATTGTTTGGTTTAATTTTTTTAAAAAAGCAATCTCACATGGCTAAGAAACATAGAATAGCATCTCAACTAACTTCTATAAATAATAGAGGTAATTTGGCATTCAAAATCATGGAGCCTTTTGGTGAGCATTGAGTTAACTATTCTTTCACTTCAATCAAGTTCGAATTTTAGGCTTCAATCGAGCTTCTAAATTTTTTTGAGTTTAAGTTGAACTTGATAATTTTTATCTCGTGAGTTTGAGTAGAGTTGAGCTTACTTTTAAAGTTTTCAAGTTCGAGTCGAGCTCAACAATACTCGAGTTCGACTTGGCTCGTTTAACAAACGACGTCGTTTGGTTTATTTATTAAAAAAAAACAAAATTGGTGGTTTTTTCCGATTTTCAGTAGGTCCGGTTCGAACGGTTCAGCGGTTCCGACCGGTTCACTAATAACGGTTCAATCGGTGTATATTGAATCGGACTAGACAACAATTCCCGGTTAAACCGACCGATCCGATCTAGTTTTCAAAACACTGATATTAAGCAACATTGGTACCAAAGTTGAGGCTTGGTTTTTTATTGTAATGATTAAATTTTTAATAGTTTATTTGTAAAATAAGTGTTTACATCATATTTTTAGGCATAATAATAAAAATATCCTGGTGTTTTTCTAAATGGTTATTTAACATAACATTTTAATTTTTGATCAAAACAAATCTTGTTGGATGGAACTCGTTAATTGATTAATGTTCAACCCATGTTATTAACGTGATATTTTTACATGTGTCAAATTAATGATGTAGCATATATTATGTCATCATTTTGGTAACATGACAAATGTCACGTTGAGAAAATATCACGTCAGCATCATAGACTGAATGTTAGTTAAGTAATAATTTTCATTTACTAGGGTATGTTTTGACAAAAATTAAAAAGTTAGGGGTAAAATACTTTAAAAAAGAATAAAAAATAAAGTGGCAATTTATGTAAACGTTTGAGGTAATTTTATCATTAAATAAGTATCTAACGTTTCATTCCTATTAACTATTATTACTTTGTTCATTAAAACAAATTGTTATCTTTCATCTACAATTCTTCAAACCCAATATTTTTTTACCTAGCTTGTCATTACAAACAAAATCAAAGTGTTCACAATTGATTTTTGGGACATAATATTTTTTATTTTCGTGAAAGAGAGAATGAAGAAGCATAGATCGAACTTGATTTATCATGAATACATGAGTTTTCAAAATCGACATGTTTGAGACTTAGGATTTTTCGATTTGTTATTTTTTTTTGTATTTTTTCTTTTCTTTTTCTTTTTGTTTATTTCCTAAAAAATACAAATGAGAAAAGGGAAAAAATGAACAAAGATCACGTGTCACGTATTTATTGGACAAACTTTTTTTTTAATGGGAAACTTGAAAATGAATATAGAATGAAACGTTAGACTCATACTTTGACCCAAAAAACTTTAAACACCTAAACTCAATTAATTCAAACTTGAAATTAGTTAAATCTTAAAATCTTATTACAAACTGTAATTTAATCCTCGTTCAAAGAATCAATAAAAAGAGAAAGAGAAATAATAGAAAGAGAGTAATATATAAGATGTTGAATAAGGATGATCTTTATAATCGACTCTTGTAGGATCTAATTTGAATTATTCAATTAATAAATCGGATATGAATAATTATATCGGAAAAATAAGAGTGTGAAAGGAATTGGAGAAGTAGAACAAGATGGGAAAAAATAAAGTAAAGCGAAAGTTGCAAAGCAACATGATTAAAAGTTGGTGTAGATTTTGTGAAAGAAAGAAGAGTTGTGGTTGACATTTGACATGT